GAGGGGACAACCCACCGGTCCCCTGGGTCAGGTCCCTGTGGCTCCAGCGAGCAGGACCCTCTCATGGGGAGGGTAAACACAGTCAGATAAGCAGGTCTGAGTTCAGTCCGTCCTGTTTTCACAGGCTGCTTCCACCGCCCCAGCACCTTTTGACTCAACAGGAGTTGGGAAGGAGGAACAGAGCAGGTCCAGGCTGGTGAGGGCCAGCCCTGGAGAGCACCATCCATCACAGAGGCCCTTCGCAGCCCCCTTCCACCTCCCCAGGCGGGAGCAGGGTCCCCAGGACAGCATCACTGCCTGGTGTGGGTGATGAACACAGCTACCGGAGGGGATGGAGCATCTTCCCTGGGGCAGGGGGGAGCTGAAGTCATGCTCCTGCTGCAGGACTCGGTGGAGTCCCTGGAGCACCCCAAGGGCGGTGGGTACAAGGCAGGAGAGCAGCACGGTGCTCGCTTTCCCTCCTCACAGCTGCTAGAGGAGCAGAGGAAATCGGTACGAGAGCTGGGCAGAGGGCTCAGCTCTGAGGCAGGTCCCCAGCACATTGGCATGGGGCTGAAGCCCCCAGTGCTCTGGGGAACCAGCTGCCGCACGAGGCCAGCCATGAGTGCCAGCCTGCTCCTCCAGCAGTGCCAGCGTGGTGTCACCAGGGTTTTAAGCCCTTGCGTGTCCTCAGGTGCCACCAGCATCCCTCTCTTACAAGTGCCAAGGAGCTGGGCCAGCCTGTGGTGCTGCCACTGAGCCACCCTCGCCCACGGTGAGGGTGACACTCCCTGGTCTGTGGCAGCGGCACACATTCCCCTCACAGGGCACACCTGGGATGCGGGGGGAGCCCAGGAGTCCTGGTGCCAGGCCCTGCTCCACCACACAGCGCTGTCAAGGCATCGTCTTGGCACCACAGCAGGGCTCATCTCAAAGCCACCGCGCCAACCAGGGGAACCGGCTTCATGTGGGGAGCACACAGGCACCCCCAGCACATGCTCCCTCCCCAGACAAGCACCTTCTCCACCATGCCGGCAGCTCAGCATCCTCGGCTGTCCTCAGGGACGCTGGCCAAGCAGCAGGCAGGGAGCATGGCCGCTCCAGCCGATGGGAGACTTGACGCCATCCGTTATCTCTCTGGGAGAGGAAGGGAGGGGGCAAATTGCATCCTCCAGGCTCAGGTGCACCAGTGCGGGTAAAAGCTAATTTCGATGCAGAAGGTTCCCTTTACATTTGTCATTACTATTCATGCCACCAGCAGGCTAAACACAGTGAGTTAACCCTTTGGAGGAGGGACCGCAGTCTGTGTTTCAAGGAGGAGGAATAGTGCAAGTTTCCTCCTGGAAGAGTGCTTCCCGCAGGGGTTCAGCCCTGGAGATGTTTGAGAGGGAGCTGGGGCTGGTTTTTTCCTACCCAACCACACTCAGTGCTGAGCTGGGGCAGAGGGCAGCACACCAGGGACAGGGTGATCAGGCACCATGGGGACATGCCACCAGGGGACCCTCCAAGTGCTGCTGGTGGTAGGACCTGACGTTACCCCACCCACATCCTTTGCTGCAAGCAGCGATCCTCACACGCAGCTCCGAGCTACCTGTCCTCCAGGGATGTTTCTTTCCCTGGCAGGTGGTATCACCAGTGCCCATGCCATGGAGGGCCCCGCAGTCCTCACCTGGGGACCCTGCCGCCTGTCCCAGGGTCAGCCCTTGCCTCCCCTGACCCTGCACTGCTGCAGCAGCTGATGCTCTCTCCTCCCCTGTACAGTTCTCCAAGGAGAAATACATCCTTGACTCGTCACCAGAGAAGCTTCACAAGGAGCTGGAAGAGGAGCTGAAGCTGAGCAGCACCGACCTGCGCAGCCACGCCTGGTACCACGGCCGCATCCCCCGGGAGGTGAGGAGGGGAAGGTGGGTGGCTCCGGGCACCCTTTGCTTGGGCTGCTCAGGGAGAGCACCCCAAGGCCACACAGAACCACCAGCCTGTCCCCTGGGAAGGGGACATTAGCCCTGAGCTGCCTGATTTTGCCCCAGGAAACACCCTCCTGTGGCTCAGAGCCATGAGCAAGGGGAATGAGCCAATGCCCCAGTGCAGCACCCATCCATGCCCCCCAGTCCACCCAGTGTGGCCATGTCTGAGCCGCTGCCCTGTCCCCTGCCAGGTGTCGGAGAGCCTCGTGCAGAGGAACGGCGACTTCCTCATCCGCGACTCGCTCACCAGCCTGGGTGACTATGTGCTGACATGCCGCTGGCACAATGAGCCCCTCCACTTCAAGATCAACAAGGTGACAGTCAAATCCAGCGAGGGCCATACCCGCGTCCAGTACCTCTTTGAGCAGGAGAGCTTTGACAATGTGCCCGCCCTTGTCCGCTTCTATGTGGGCAACCGCAAGGCCATCTCCGAGCAGAGCGGAGCCATCATCTACTGCCCCATCAACCGCACCTTCCCCCTGCGCTACCTGGAAGCCAGCTATGGGCTGGCCAACGGGAAGCATGGGGGATCCCACAGTCCCGCCACCCAGAAAGGGGGGCACATCAAGAGGAGGAGCATCACCATGACGGACGGCCTGACGGCAGACAAGATCACCAGGGCTGAGGGGTGCCCGACCAGGTGAGCACATGGGCTCATCCCAGCTCAGCTGGGCAGAGGACCAGCCCCTGGGGCACAGGGAGGGCCACACTCAGTCCCTGGGTGCAAGGCAGGGGTTTGGGGTCAGGGATGGGAGAGAGATAGATCAGCAAAGGTATGGGGGGAGGAACTGGTACCCAGCTGGAACTGGGGTTTTCTCACAGGCTGGCTGCCAACCACACTGAGCTACCGCAGCAGACGCCCAGGGAGCGGACACAACTTTAGCATCACAGGCCAGAAGCCAGAGGGTGTTTTACAATCACCCAGTCCAGGACTAGCCACATGTCAGGGCTTGTCCGAAAGCCAAGCTTTCCCAGGCAGTGTGAGAGGAGAGCAAGTCCCAGGCACCAAGATGGCATGCGTTGGTTTGTTTTTAAAGGACCCTTTTAGTTTTAGAGCCCTTTCCATTCAACTGGAGCATTTGCAAAAAGTTACCAAGCAGAGCTAAAAGCCTGATGGGCATGAGGAGACTGATGGAGCTGTGCTAATGGGGGTCTGCACAGCCCCGAGATCCCAGCCTCCGCATGGCTGATCTGCTCACGTTAACCTTGGAGCAGTGGGGCTTCTCCGAGGTGGAGAAGGAGATCTCCTTTGCGCAGCTTGCTTTCAGCAGCCCCAGGCTGCACAGAGCCCAGCAGGGAAGGCAGAGCCATGCACACATCCTCACACACAGCAGCCGAGGGGTGACCCGCCTTCTCCTGCCTCCCCAGCGGGACACAGCCCGTCCCACAGCCTGTCATTGAACCAAGCCGCCTTCTCACCACCCTGACCTTCTCAGCCCAAGGGCAGGGTGAGAACACGCTAGCAGAAAACTGGCAACCAACTGTTACGACAGGGAAAGGAAAACAGTCAGAATTCCAGGAGAGCATATGTGTTTCCAGAAGAAGAGCCCAGATCCATCAGTCTTTCCTCACCACTCACATTTTCCCCAAACATCTTATCACTGCCACTACTCTCCCATCCTCCTCCCACCGCAGAGGCATGGTGCTCGAGACTGATCACAGCGGCCCAGCCCTCACCCGTGGCACAGAGGCCATGCCTCCTTGCAACCCTCCCTGCACTCAAGCACCCCCCAGACACAGCATCTTTTGACTCGTCAGGCCACAACTGCTGTCCCCCCAGCCCAAGACCTCCTGGCTTGCTGTGCAGCTCCTCAAGCACACACACTGCAGCCCACCAGCCCAGCTGCCTCCATCAAGCACCTGCTGGGCTCCCAGTCCAGCTCCCAGGCACTTTCCTTCCACCTCTCCTAAGCTCTGGATCAGAGCAACAGCTCCCCTAACCATCCAGGTGGAAATACAGTAATGCACCCAGCCTTAGACACCACCTTGCAGCACAACCCTAGAAAACCAGCCCCCACAACATCTTTGCCAGAGTTTCTTCCTCACAGCACCCTAGACCCAAGCTGAGCCATCCCATTGTACTTTGGCATCAGAGCATCCCTCTCCTCTGCTCCACATGACCAAGCACCCCCAGGCAGGGCTGTCTCTGGTTTATATAGGCACTGACCCCTCTGCTCCCAGCTGCCTGCAGACCACCCACTCCTGGCTCCAGCTGAGCTCGTTATGAGTTCAGCTCGTTACAGGTAGCTGGGGAAGGAGGTGATGACCTGAGGGGAGGTGATGGGGCAGCAAACCCCCATCCCAGCCCCTCTGCCCTTGCCCGGGCCCTGTCCGCAGGGACTAACCTGCCCCATCTGCCCCACTGACCCCTCTGCTCCCAGCTGCCTGCAGACCACCCACTCCTGGCTCCAGCTGAGCTCGTTATGAGTTCAGCTCGTTACAGGTAGCTGGGGAAGGAGGTGATGACCTGAGGGGAGGTGATGGGGCAGCAAACCCCCATCCCAGCCCCTCTGCCCTTGCCCGGGCCCTGTCCGCAGGGACTAACCTGCCCCATCTGCCCCCTCCCCAGCGTGTCCCTGCCCCACCACAGAGACATCATTCGC